ATTCTTCTTCTGACCCAATGCACTTGGCTTTTGTCACTACCTTCTGACTGTAGCCTCTCCCCACACTGCTACTTGCCTTACATGTGGAGATGTTTTCTGTTCAGATCTAAATTCTTTTCCTTTCCATACCAAACCTCTTACTGTGTTCTCTACTCCTTCTGGTTAGCAATTTCATACAAATAAACACAAGGATTCCAAGTTCCTGCCTGTGTGAAAACACCAAATTCAGAGCTCATTCAGGTGTACGTCTGTAGAGTGATTCTCTCCACCAAACATTTTCTAATGTTAGACTAATGTAGGCAATGCATTAAATACAACTAAACCACTCTTTCAAGCATTCTATTTAGCAAGTTTACTCACTGAGATGTTGATTTTGATTTTTTAAGCAAAGAATGCAGGTTTTAAAGGCTTCAAGTCAGTCCCCTGACATGTATTGCAGATTTCCAGCAGTGTTACTCAACTGTTGAAAAAAAAAATTCTTCTGCAAAGCTGATAATGCAATTCAAACAATTGCTATTGCAAATAGAAGACCTGGCTCTCCACAATCTTGTATATTTTAGGATCATCAGCCACAAGTGCAATTAACTGTTAGCTGGTGGGAGAGCTAAAATGTATGCAGATGCTCAAGAATAGTCCTATTTAGTACCTCATTTTATAGGTGTATAGTTTTTGTCCATTTATTTCATAATTTCTGTGTCACCACTGAGTAGTCTTGTCCAGTTTGGTTGGCTTTTATACTACAGCTATACTTTGGTCCTCACTTTTGGTTGTGATCTAGGGATTTGGGTCCTAAAGTTGCTCCTCCCAGAAGTAGAGTGACTAAAGCCTATAATTTTATCAACTCTATCAATTCTATTTGGAAACCCTGTCATCCACGTACGATACATGCTGAAAGGCAATCTACATTTTAGTTCATGTGCTCTAAAGCCAAGACAATGCCTAATAAAGTCACCAACCGTAATTTAATATGAAGCTGAAATTAGGCTTCTTGAGCAATTGAGATGTGCCTACTTATTTTAATGCAGTCTGGATGTTAACACCGGCTTTCTGAGGGAAAAAAAAAATGAGAAAAAAGTGGACATAGAGGTGCAGTAGGCATAGGATCTGCATAAAACTTTAAGAGTCACTCGCCAAAAATTATTTTCCGGGCAAGATCCAACACTACAGTAAGGGACTTTTGCACAGCTCTGGGTTTAAATGTATGAATTCAGGGCAAAATAGACACATGAAGTAACTTAGAGAGTTATTCAGTATCTTGGTAATTAACATGAAATTTCCCAATTGCTATGAAGATATTGTTGAGGCACTCATAGATCCTTCAGCTGTGCATATAAGTGATTCTGACTATGAGCTGACAATAGAAACTAAAATCCTACTATACAAGTGATCAGCATGTGCCATGACGAGATCTCAGAATATCTTTGATATTCATGAATCAAGTTTCAAACACATACAAGTATTGTTCACTTCAAAAACAAACAGTTTGAGAAGATAAACCTTTGATCAGCATATTGCCACCCCTAAGATCAGCATATTGCCACCCATACAGCTGAGTAAAAGCTATTTTTTACCATACTTTCTTAGGCATTAAGTATTCTTTCTTAAATCAATTGTGCCTTACTTTCTTAAAATAAGTTGACCACATAGCTTGAAGTATGTTCCCTTTTAAAAATAAGGAAAATCGTACCATTGACCTCTGAAAAGTAGGACTTGAGAAATACACACATAGGTTCTTTACAATTTGCACTCACCAGGCCATTTGATACTCTGCTGTAACAAAGGAGTCAAATGGCTTTATCTTCTCAGACTCTTCCATATAAAACAGTGCAGTGAAGCATGTGTTTAATTTGGAATGAGCTGTTCCTGCTTCACACTATGATGAGCCACTTGCCAATTGAGTTCAGTCTCCTGCCTCCTGCTTGCAAAAGGAATTTAATTGGCTGTTACAGCAATCTGTACTCTGATAAGGTTGCTGAGAGAGAGAGAAAAAAAAAGCGACAAACCCATCTAGCTGAAGACCTCATATATATATTTCTTCCCCAGTCCTCTATTTTTGCTGGTCCATCAACATCCAGTGTGTAGTTACCCTTCAAACAGCCATTCCTACCTCTAGATTTCCCATTTTTAACTAGGGCCATCCAAAAGTTCACTATTCTTTTCGTTTACTTCCTAAACTACCTTTCAAGTCTCCAGTATGTGATCCAATAGGCTGGATATGCTTTCATGTGAGGCTACCTCCCCCTGATGAATTCAAAGCTTAATTCTGCCTGAGACAAGGGTGGCCTACAATAAAGACCTTGCTTCCACTTCACAAGCCACCTGTTATCTTCTTCACCAACCTGCCAACTCCTCTACTGTTTCCCAGTCCTGCTGCTCGCCAGCCCACTGTGCCATCTGCACAGCAGGAATTCAGAGATAAACTTACAAAGTGTTAGAAGTCTCAGCTTTGTCTCAGAGCCGGTGCTGCTTTGTGAGCAGAATAATTATTCTGGAGTAAAAGTAACTTTCATTTAAGAATAATGTCTGCATGGAAAGCTACTCTAGAATCAGGGGTAGCAAACTAATTTGTTCCATTCTAGCTCTGTTAGTCTGCTTCCTCTTTTTTACAGGTCCAAAGACCTATTTGTGACTATGTTAAATTTTCTTACTAGGACAGGACATATATGGATATAATAATTACTTTAATCTACAAAAAGAATAGAAAATTACTCAAAGTATAATTCCAAAATTTCCAGCCATTTCGGAAAGTGATATATAAAACATTTCTGAAACTGGGAAGAAGCCGACATGCAGGAATCTTATTACTCAAAAGACTATTACAACTTCTGTCCCAAAGATTATTAAAAATAAAACAAACAAGCAAAAAACCAAACCAAACAAAAAAACCCTACAAACCACAGAACACTGCAGCCCAAAAATTTGACTGGGTGTCACATGAAAAACTGGAAGACATGACTAATTTGCAACCACAGATAAAAATTCCAGTCATCTATCATAGTTACTGGTACCACGCCACAGAAACTCAAGACTTTAGTAATGGTCCCCGTGTCCCATAATGCTGGATACTGCCTGAATACATAAAGTATAGAACAATTACTATCTCAAATGAGTTGCAATTGCAGTAAAGATCAAGAGACAACAGAGAAGCACAGACAGATAAAATAATACAAGGAAACAATGAAGTGAATTCAATTGATGCTACATGAAGTTGTCACAGTACATCAGGAGCTTAATGTTGTTACTTTAGAACAGACAGTGCAGTAAATGTTAATCTTCAGAATGAGCATAAAGTGCATTAAAGAGGTTGTTTTGTACCTTCTACAAAGTTTTTCCCAAGCCTACCTGGTAACACAGAAAAAAACCACCTGCAATTGCATGCTGGAACACTGAAACAGGCATCATTCATCAATGGGAAGAATAGAAGCTCATCATTCTATTGTGAATCAGAGATGATAGAGTGGAAAAGATGTTTCATATTTTGTTCAATTCAGATTATTGTGGTATTCTGTCTAAACTGGTGAATTTGAACCATGGAACCACTTTGCATGATAAACAGTAGAACTCTTTATCAGCCTTGAATCACGGTGCAGAAATGGGTAATTCACAGCTAGCTTTGAAAGAGCTTTCAATTCAAATAATGATCTCCTGTTTTAGGTCGAGTGCAAAACCCTACTAAAGTGCAAATCACAAGCAAACAAAGCTATCTCAGCTCTTAAAACACCACAGCTACATCTATTTCACCCCAAATAAAACAAATAAATAATTCAAAATAATGGCATTCTGGCAATGTAACACCTTGCATATAACTTATTCTTTCTCATGTGTCTTTTGGGGGAAGATTTTATTAAGCATATTTTAAACTTTAATGAACCATTATCACTTTTTTGTTTCTGTTAATTTTACAGACAATACATGAAAGTCAGTCTGAAACAATACCCCTTGTGTGTAGATGTAAGCAAAGCTACAGGCACTTTCTGAGCCCACTCACTGTTTTATCCAGATTCACAAGCTACAGTGATCTCTGTTGCCTTTTCTCATTAAAGAAAATGCAATCAGAGATGGAAATACTCTGCAAGGTGATTTTCTTTCACATAAAACATTCAGTAACAAAGATGTCTTTGTGCATGACATGCTTTCTGCTTCTTCTTCGCCACTTCTTGTCTATGTTTTAATTTTTTCTTCTTGGTAGCTTAGACACTGTAGCTGGCTTTAATGGAACAAAAATGCCATGCAGCAAGTTCATAAGTTTACACAGTAACTTACCTATCAGGAGTATAGATTTTGTAAATAGCTGAACTGATGTAGAAAATAATTATAAGAGTGTGCACTGGATTCAGTTGTGAAAACAATGGAAATACATTGGCAGTACAAGTCTGTCATTGAATCTTCTTTCAAGCAGGTATTTAACTATACAAATAAAGAGCACTGTCATGGTTTTGGATAATGTGTCCATTACAGGCTCATTCACAACTTCACATGTAATTTCAAGATTTTGAAGTTTAGTTTTGATTTGCTGAAGAACAAAATCAAGAGATTCTACACTGTGGCTAAGGCCACCACTTGTGATGCCAGAAACTCCTATTGAATAAAATGCCTTGAATGGTTAAGCAAAGTGATTTCAACATCATTTTTGCAACAGCCTGCACAACATCCCCTCTGCATGCTTGGCTTCACAAGAGGGTTAGAACTTCTTCCTTTAGTTTTCTTCCTTTAGTCCCCACAGAAGATACTACTTTAGGCCTGAGAAACTCTTCTTGACGAAAACGCCACTGAAACACAGTTCTGGGGGGAAAACATTTCAGCTGTAGAGCTTTAGGATTTACCCAAAGTCAGTGTATATTTCACAGTCATTTGCTCCCTGTAGAGGAAGTGCTGGCAAGTATAAACTTGCTAAAAACACTTTTTAATGAGCACTGCACAGTAAAGTCAGCCCCTGTCCTAATGCAAGTGTTTGCGGCATAGCAGGAGTTACTCTGACACCCTTAATTCCGTAAACTCACCCTGGTATGTAGTTTCTCAGCAATGCCTGCTGATTACACTTAGTCCTTCCTTTCGCTCCTTCCATGGAAGTAGCGTTCCATGCTCGTCTCATCCTTAGCATCATGAAAACCTAATAATTAAGAGACTCTTTACTTAATGAAAGATAAGGTCAGGAATTTTGATGCCAGATTAGAAATGACACACTTCAAAGAAATAAAAAATGGAGTTTTAGTTTAGATTTAAAGATCAGGTGCCTCTCCAGGCAAGAGGTAACCTATTTTGTCTAGACTCCCCAAGACTCTTCCACTCTGTCAAAACAGAAAATTTGCTGCATCCAGCATTACTTCTTCTTGTGAACATTATTCTTGATGTAAAGTTGGACAAGATCACTAAGTCCCTCCCATCCCATCTAATTTCTGGGGTTTTTTTCTATTTTTTTCCATTTTTTTCCATAATATTTTTTAAATGTGAGTGTAGTCCGTGGACTTTTCACTCTTCCTCAGAAAGGTTTCCTTGGAAAGGTGTGCACATCATCAGCTAGCAGGAGTTACTTCATCTGTCATTTCATACATCTACAAGATTCTTCAGTTAACATCTTAATTGCAGCTTAAATTACCTTGAAATAAATTCCTAAGACATTCCAAATGTTAGAACACTCTTAAGGTTGAATGTTAAACTTTGCTCTTAGTCACCGTCAGTCTAAGCTTGTAATAGAGACTAAATATGGCAACTTCGGGCATGTCATTAATATTGATAATGGGCTTAGGAATACAACAGTACATTGAATTATCTCCAGATAATGTTTCCCAAAGACTACAGAGAAGGATTATCTGAGGGTGACACATTTAAAAATAACTATCATTATAAGATGCTTTTTAGGAATAACATCACCCACTGAAGAGATGTTAGAATTTCAATTGCCATTATCCAGAATCCTGTCCAACTCAATATAAGCTATCAAACATTCTCTCTTCTTTTATGTTCTGCTATATTTACAGGTAGATGTTTCTTTTTAAGAAAAAAATATATATATTTAAAGAAAACAGTATTTTTTTTCTTGCAAGATTTTCAGTCTTCACAACTGCTTTTGAACAGGCTAAAATATGTGCACAACCATTTTATCAAATAGTATGATTTATGCAATTCTAAGATCAAACAGAAAACTTTTAGTAGGTAAGTTACCTCCACTAGCAGCTTGTTACTTTACTTTTAACATTTAATCTTTTTTACCTCAAAATAATATAGTTTCTTAATCTTGCATATAGAATGTGTAAAGTTTTGTTTAATGTTTCTATTGTTTTCTGAGCTTTACCTAATTTTAACTGTATGAATGTGAGAATTTTTAATCTCTGCAGTGTTCAGTATTTTGCATAAAATATTTGTTAAAATTGTTATAGAGGTATGGCAATTTAAATTATCCAGTTTATGCCTTAGTCTAGGTAAATAATATCAGCTTTATTAGACCGCAGGGGGAAAAGGTTTGCGTTTCTGGATAGGGTGCTCATGCAAAATCAAGTTGGTGAAACAATGATTTAGCCATGCCATGAAGACTCAAACACTGGATATCAAATATCACTCTACCTGTCTCTCTTTGACAGCTGGACTAGATGATCTTGAAGGTCTCTTCCAACCTTGCTGATTCTGTGATTCTTCTTAGAGAAAGGGTATATCTAGATAAAGTTATTTCAATTCTGACATGAGCTTGTGTTATCTAACACATGGTGACTTATGAGCATTCAAAAGCCTGTGTACTCCAGATATCGGGTGTACTGTTTGGTTTAGTTTAAAACAGGAATCTGGTTTTTACATGATGTTCTATATGCAGTATGTGATGTGTACATATGTAATGCAATAGGCTTCACTTACACTCATGGAAGTCCTACTCATGGTAGTACACCTAGACTAAAGCACTGCTTTATCCATAGTAATGGACTCACAGTACTCATAATAGTGTAAATATATCTGGTAAACTGAAAATTTTCTGCACCCAAAATCTTGTCTACGGCTTCATCTATAAAATTTGTTCCCCTGTTTTGATAACAACATTGTTTATTTTATAGATCACTGACGTAGAAAGCAATGTCCATTACTAAAATGCAAGAATTCCTAACATACACAGAGCTGATCCTTCCTGCCCAATATATGGTCATGTTACATACCTCTTTGTCCTTCATGCTTTTTTGCCTCACTTGGCTGTAGGCATTCACAAGATTTGCTGCAATCACACCTCACCAACCCTGGCATCCTTTCCCTATTGGGAAGATCAGTGTGCATTTGAGAAATACATCATTCGTCCAAATTACTTCACATTATTTATTTGAATTCAAGCTATTGAACTAGTAGTTTCGATTCCCTGAAGTGGAGTTGACACCTGCTTCCTTCTTGGTCAATCCAAAGTTTCCATAAGTCACTTCAAATATCCCCAGGCTCGTTGTCTAGATCAATGACAACAAAACTAGCAAAACCTCAAAGCCTGCATCTCATCACCTAGCTTTTAGTACAGTTCTACAACAGTATTCCCACAAAATATCTCATTAGAAACTCATAAAATTTAAAGACATAATATCATGCTAATACATCCCTTTGTTATGAACTACTGTCATTTTAAACTTCATCTGACTAACTTTCTCCTCGACATGTGATTTGTTTGGGGTGAACTTTAAAAGTATTAGTGTTAGGTGTTTGTCTAATGGAATTTTGAGCAACTTAAAAACTTAACTCCTATATGGATCAACACAACGATTAAAACCTGATGGGTTTTCCTAGAATGCTCAGTGCTTAGACTGCATTTTGACATGCCAAACTATGGCTGAAGTCTGAGTTTTTTACTTGCCTTTTTTGACATGTAGAATGAAAACTTTCCGAGGCAGGACCTATCTGTACCCACATGTAGGTACAGCAGCTACCTATGCAAAAATCACTGTTTCTATTCCCAAATTCTTTCATCTCCAAGCTTTACTCTTTGTCACTTATAATTCAGCTTTCACCCTACCCTAGCTGCTTTGGACTGCTGCAATTTTACTTTAGGTTACCTATGTTACTAGATTTAACTAACACATCATGACAGTGCTCATCTTCATTTTCCCTTGCAGATTTATACTCAGGCTACTTCAGGGCTTGTGAAGAGTTTTCAAATGCAAGAATTCTGCTTTTGCAATCTAAAGAGTATATAAATTCTCAGTCCATTTCTTTTATATTCGTACTGATTCAAAACTTTCACTCCAATTTTATTGACTTACATGTTGCTGCAGACAAGCATTTGTAACACTGACATTTGTTTTGTTTATACTAACCTCTTTTTCTCAGGAAAAGGAGGTCTGTTACTCTTTCTAATAGCACAGTTACTGCTGCTACCACACTTCCAGTTCCAAGCAGCCAACGTAAGATGTAATGATTCATGCTGTAGAAGTAGCTATTGAATCTGCACTAATCGTACTTTTGGTGTCAGGTTTATAGCAAGAACAAAACCAATCCCTGCTAACCAACAAAAGTGGACCTGGTAACTGCCAGACACAGGATATTCTCTGGAATTCATTTTTTGTGTATCACAGCCGTGTTTTAAAAACACAGTGATTTAAAATAAAGATTCTTCTTTTATTTTTCATTAACGTATTATGAAATAACCTTCTATATTTTAAACAAAGATTCATATTTAGCAAATAATTTTGTATCTTTGGAAAAACATCAATTTGTTTACTAGAACTGTACCAGACAGACTGTGAATAGATAAGAATAAGGCTTCATAAAGTGCACCCACAAAGGTTTGCTTTTCAGGGTTGATATTACATGTAATTAGCCTGACATTTAATAAATGACATTTCTAGGAACTGCTAAAGCTGACTTAACAAGCAAACAGAACAACTTTTTTTGTTTGTTTAGGGAAGGTAGTAGCACTGTTGCACATTTTATGCAAAGTGATTTTGCCAGTACATGTTGAAAACATCTACATGCAAGAAATATTTGAAATAAAAATGCTCTCTGTTAACTGGACTTTCAGTTACTGTGCTGCCTGCTTAGCACAAACTCTGATAAGAGTTCCTGTGGAAAAGCTGGTATATACTGTGACTGAGCAGGGCCATACTAGAGTTGTAATAAATTTACCCTCTATTAAAGTTTTGTGTTTTTTCCAAGCATATTCCAAATCATAAACAATCTGGACAATTTTTCATTTTGATTAAAAAATAAAAAAAAGAAAAACAAAGAAACAACCAACCAAAAAAAAATAAAACAAAAACCCCAAAACAAACAAAAAAAAGCAGATCTGTTGAAATTATATGTCCTAAAAATTTTCCTAGATTTTAGAGTTTAATTTTACATTGGCAAGAAACTGTTTTGAAGAATCAAGAATGCACGTGTTAGCCTGGTTATCTAACCCAGAGGACAGGTTTGTTTACATGCAACGCATTTCAAGGGCACTTAGAAAACCACAGTAATTCAAGAAATACATCCGAAATTTGGTCTCATTTCCTGCTTGTATTAAGAAGGAAATTAAGTGTTTATGTCATGATCATCTCAGCAGCTTTATTTTTATGCATTACAAACCTTGAAATCTCTTCCAAGTGCCTGGAAGAGATATCAGTCTCATTCACCCAGTTCAGCTGCTGGGTTAGCACACCCACACCTCACCAGGGAAGAGAATGGAGTCTTCAACCCGAATGGCAGGAATCTAGTTATAAATAGGGTTCCCATATAGGAGCTTTTTTCTTTCTTGTGATGGATTTTATTTCACTGGTTAAACATGGCTGAGGCAGATCTGCGAAGATATTCTGCTTAAAAAGAAATGTGAGCAAAACCACTGACTCTTTTTTTTCCCACACTGCCAGAGTTCAATGATGACATGGTCTACCAAACTAAGCAGTGGCCCTGTCTTGAAAGAGTACACAAAAATTTGTTTGCGATCTGCGGTACATAATGTATGAAAGAAAGACAAAATGTGGAATGCTAGAATGAGTGAAATGGTATCAAATGTCCTATCTTCTATATTCTTAAGATTTTGGAACAAAGGAAACATTCCATTTTTCTCTTTCATTATTCCCTTTACTAATTCCTTTTACAACCTAAAAGATAATAAGCTCCATAAACACGAAATAAAAATTGCAGGGAAATTTTTTT